CCAGACGTACATGTAGGAAATGATCATGGACCAGAGTTTACACATGGTAAGACCAGGATAATACAGCATGAATCGTCTTCTATAGAATCTTCTATTCACTATGTGTACTGGGTGCAGCTCTGACTGCCACCCCCCGACCCAGAAATGGATTAAGGGGAAGGAGATGGATGGAGAATCTTCTATTGTAAACGCAGAGACTGGGACAGAGTTTTCCTGCTGGAGACTTTGTCCTGTTCATAACTTCGACCTCACCCTGGCGTCTGAAATGGATCTACTACAAACATATACAGCAGTGGGACATATGCATTTTTATCCTCACAACATAAATCTTTTCTAGTTTGCATATATGTAAATTCAACAACATGCACTTCAAAACAAAGAGATTTTCTAAGATTTACACTAAGCAATGTGTATGTTTAAGCTACAAAAGAACGGTGGCTAGTTTGGGTGAATTTGGCGATAGTTTTTAAAACACATAGATACATATAGATAATTATCAAGGGTTTGCACGTGCGCCAAAATGATTAGGACCTTTACTTTGGAGCAAACTGATTTATGGCCATCTGTACACTAGGACGGAGTAAATCCTACTATTAGCTGGAGGAAAGAAGAAGAAGAACAGATTGTAACGGTTGATCTCGGTGGATCAGAACAGCACCTTGGGCTGCGGAGCCTGAAGCAGAATGATGGATCTATTAAGGCTGTGAAAAGGTGTGTGTGAAGAACAGGGACAGGTCTCTACAACATATGAGCTCATTGAACCAAGTGCAATTATAGCCCAGAGTTTTATCTCATTTTATGTTATTTTTATCTAATAATTTTACTGTCTATTATCTTAAATAATAGACTCAATTTGATTTGAGTGCTCTTGTTTCCTTTCTCTGCTGTAATGTGCAACGATGACACTGAAATGTTTCCACTGTGAGACTAATAAAGGTTTATCTTATCTATTTCTTTGCGTCAAACCTCTCAAACACTTTTATATTTCAAATTCAAACATTGTTATTCTGTCTTGTTGTTTGTAATGGCACAATAAATAAGTAATTACCAGTGGGGGCTGGTCTCCGCTCAAAAAAGTCCAAAATGACGTGTTGACATGCTGCAATACCACCCCGGGCCTGTGGGGGTGGACCCGGAATAAGAATTAGCCAATGCTAACGTATAGCATATTCATACCTCTCAAAAATCTTTTACAGGATGGTCCAAAAGTGGCTCTTGGCCCAACGCTACGTTCCAGATTCTGTCAATGCTGAGGGGTGTGTTCTGGACCGGTCTAGTTCAGTCGCTGTGGACTTTTGAAGGCACTCGTTTAAATGAATGGGGCTCGTGCAGCTGACGCATGCTCTAATGTGTTTGTTTCACATTTTTAGCCCCCGCGGCCATTTTGAAACTGCCCATAGACGGTGAAAGTGGTGGCACATTAGTTTTAACGGTGGAGATAGGCGTGACTACGTCTGTTAATATGTAATTACATGTCGGAGCTCATCTTGTCTGGATTCAAGGATTCTTTAAAGGTTCTTTGTGTAATGTTTTCAGTCGCTCCAAATGAAACAACACGTTAACCAACAACAAATGTGACCTTTTTCAGAGTTTTTACCTCCATCATGTTTAGAATTTGACCTACATAATGTTCATAGTTATGTGTTTGTTTGGACGTGTTTTCTGATTCTGGACACCTGCATTTCTTCAACAGGGATCAATAAAGTATCTATCTATGACATGTCTTTACTTATGTGAAGAGAGCAGATCAATCCAACATTTTTTCTGTTGTAGAAAGTATCTCAAAATTACAATAAAAACATGTAGCAGCAGAAGCCGTTATTTGCGACAGAAAACAGAAATATGGTTCAACTGTTCCAACGAGTTTTTAAATAACCCATTTTATTTTGTGCCTAAAGAGTTGAAACAGATGTGCCTTAAGGAGGGAGAAACCGTAAAATGTTAGTAAAAGTGTGGCCATACTTGCATGTGGAAGACTTCTGAAGCTGTGCAGGGCAGGGCTTGGTTAGTGCTGTGATGGGAGACCTCTGGGAACACTGTGGCACCAGGCTATAATTTATTTTGTAATTCCTTGTGTGATTGTAAAGTTTTAATTGTGATTCTTGTGTTTGTTTTATGTGATGATTGGGCCTTGGGTGATGTGGACTGAAGCGTTTTGTGTTGCCGTGTGTATGAAAGGCGCTCTACAAATAAACTTTGATTGACTGATTGAAAATGTTGTGTCCTTAGGCAAGACACTTAAGATTAGAATGAGTCGGGTGTGTGTGAATGGTTGGTGGTGGTGGTTGGAGGGGACATTGCTTTGCTTCCATCAGTGTGCCCCACGGCAGCTGTGGCTACAGTAGTGGTTTATCAGTGTCCTGAAAAGCGCTGTATAAAACCAATGCATTTTTACTGTTATTATTATTATAAAGGAGATAATCATATTGGAAAAACTGATCTTAAACTAAAAATGCTCATATGTATAAAGATTATCTAATTTAAAGGTATACAGGACAAAATCATCAAGACTATTGTGAGTATTTATAATTTTAATGCTCTCTCTCGATCCTCCTATATGAATACCTTTAAAACCAAATGTGTACACACAATTCTCTGATGGTTTCAATGTGGATGAAGTAGAAACAGCCTCAGAATCCTTTTGAGTCCAGGGCTGAAGTACAAAGGACTGGGCTCTTTAATATAATCTCTGGTGAAAGCCATCTTTCAATGTCATGTTCATGTTTTATACATGTTATTGTTGCTGAAAGGAAAGAATTTAAGATATTTGTTTGGATGTGAAGTGCCAGTGGCCGGGATCATCCTGCAGACCTCAGGCACAACACTGGCTTAAAAGTATTAGACTACTCTATGTATCATTCATAAAACATGGATGAATGACAAACAACGACTCAGCTCCACACCAAAGGACAAAGTGAAGCAGGAGAATGTCCACATTTGGTTCACAAATAAAAATTATGCAAAACATTTGCAGCAACAAAAAAGTAGTAAAGCCTTAAATGTATTTGTTGTGTGGTTCATGTTGGACATACATTATGCCTCAATCTTTTTTAATGGTTGTGTGTAGTAATCATATCAGTGTGGGCGGGTCCCGGCGCAAAGACCCATGGATCTATTATGATATCTGGACAGGGTCTTACTAGCTTGGAGCTGAAGGACCCATGTGCTCGGGGGATTCTAACGGTACTGCAGACTGTACCAAGACTAAATTCATGTGCAGGAGCAGGATTACAAGTCCACAGGAGCCTTGATCTTTCAGCAGAGACCACAGGCAAAGTGGGGTTGATTGTCTTGCCCAAGGACACAACAACAGCAGTCATCAGTGGGAGTCGTGAAGTAGGTCTTGGGGTGGGCTCGAACCCATGACCTTCAGGCTCAAAGGCCAATGCTCGATCAACTGAGCCACTGTCACACCCCAGTCTCATGAAGGTCTAAGTCCAGCTCACCCAAAGAACTCAATGTAAACTAAAACAGCTCAACCTCGGCTCACAGAGAACCTGACAGAGAACCTGACAGAGAACCCACAGAGAACCTACAGAGAACCCACAGAGAACCTACAGAGAACCTGACAGAGAACCTACAGAGAACCTGACAGAGAACCTGACAGAGAACCTACAGAGAATCTGAGAGAGAACCTACAGAGAACCTGACAGAGAACCCACAGAGAACCTGACAGAGAACCTGACAGAGAACCTGACAGAGAACCTGAGAGAGAACCTACAGAGAACCTACAGAGAACCTGACAGAGAACCTACAGAGAATCTGAGAGAGAACCTACTGAGAACCTACAGAGAACCTGACAGAGAACCTACAGAGAACCTGACAGAGAACCTACAGAGAACCTGACAGAGAACCTGACAGAGAACCTACAGCTTTCATAAAGGCCGGATTTTGTGGGGATTTTAGTGTCCCTTGTCGTCCTGAACTTTTTCTCTTCTTAAATCCTTCAGTTTTCTATCAATCCACACTTTACTGCCACAAACTCGCTCTGATCAGCTCTGATTGGTCGAGACCCTCTGTGCACGTGCATGAGAGCCACACACGCGCATTTAGCGCAAAGCATCATGGGAGCTCGTCCACTGCACAGAACCGGGAGGACCAGAGAAATGACCAAATATGGGCGAGTTCCGCTAATCTTTCGGTCCCTGTGTATGTCCCATGCACTACTGAGCACATGCCGTTCATTTGAATAGGACGCCATCTTGGATCATCGGGGCTTCCAAGTTAAATAGTAAAACTCACAATACTGTATGTAGTGATTTAAGATGTTATATTATCAGCAGCACTTCAGGTCACAGCAGCAGAGGTGGAGTAGCCGCTTGGTTCGGACCATTTTTTCCGCTGGTCTGGGCCGTTGCAAAACCATGAACACTGAACCACAGAGCTGCTTAGCACTTGCTACCGTTTCCTGCACATTCTAGTCTGACCTTGATCAAATATGATAGAAAACCAGGCTCTCTAGTCCGCGACAGCCATGACCAACACGAGGTTTCGAAGCGGAGAAAAAGCATGAAAACAGAGTGAGTCATTCAGGATGTTACATGTATTAATGAGTGGCCTGTGAAGATGATTAATTACTTGTTTACTAGTGAATAAACACACACTCACCTCTGGTTTAACCTTGTGTCCCTCACTGCTCATTAGAGGAATTACTGCCAAACAGACATTTAGCACTTTTCTCTGCAAAACCAGTGGGAAATGCAATGGAGAGATGTTGCACCGAGGAGATCAGAATAAAAATGTTAAATCCATCCATCTTGAGGACTGAGATTTAAACATGTATGTGCTGTTACCATGGAGACGCTGCAACAGTAAACTATGTCAGATTGTCCTTGTGTTTACACGGAGACGGTGTTTCAGGTGAAAACGTAGAGAACCAGCCTCCACATCCTCTCACCTGCGCACTCCCTCCACTACTCCCTCCACCTCCTCCTCCTCCATCCACCTCCTGCCTCCTACTACTCCATCCACCTCCTGGTCCCTCCTCCCTCCTCCCACTCATGGTCCCTCCTGTCTCCTCCCCCTCCCTCCTACTCCTGGTCCCTCCTGCCTACACCTCCTCCCTCCTACTCCTGGTCCCTCCTGTCTCCTCCCCCTCCCTCCTACTCCTGGTCCCTCCTGCCTACACCTCCTCCCTCCTATTCCTGGTCCCTCCTGCCTACTCCTCCTCCCTCCTCCCATTCCTGGCCCCTCCTGTCTCCTCCCCCTCCCTCCTACTCCTGGTCCCTCCTGCCTACACCTCCTCCCTCCTACTCCTGGTCCCTCCTGCCTACACCTCCTCCCTCCTATTCCTGGTCCCTCCTGCCTACACCTCCTCCCTCCTACTCCTGGTCCCTCCTGCCTACACCTCCTCCCTCCTACTCCTGGTCCCTCCTGCCTACACCTCCTCCCTCCTACTCCTGGTCCCTCCTGCCTCCTCCATCTTCCCACTCCTGGTCCCTCCTGCCTCCTCCACCCTCCCACTCCTGGTCCCTCCTGCCTCCTGGTCCCTCCTGCCTCCTCCTCCTCCCTCCCGCTCCTGGTCCCTCCTCCCTCCTGCCTACAGCTCCTTCCTCCCACTCCTGGGTGATTCTCACAAAATCCAGATTTAAAACAATTCCAACTTCAACATTTTCAAAAGGCATTTGAAGACTAATTTTCTTTTAAGCACTTTAGATGAATGTCTGAACTTACTAAACACATTATTTTTTGACATCGTTTTTGATTTTTTTAGTTGAATTACAGGTATTTTAGATATTGAGTGCCAAAAAAATCTCATTACCGCAACATGAAATCACATCAGATTTATTGTTAAAATAAAAAAAATTGGGAAATTTTAAAAGTAGCTCATTAACACTTATGCCAAGAGGAATGTATCAGTCAGGAAAGATTACTTCGTTATATTTATAAACTTGAAAATATTAATAATTTGTCTCATTACCGCAACACACTTAATGATTTACATCTAGATTTTTTAGGATATTCCTTTGAAAACTGACATAAATATATATTTTTTGTGATTGGGATATAAAAAGTAGTACTACAAATTGTGTCAACACAATTGCTAAAAAAAAACAAAAAAAACAAATTATTAAATCATTTGCAAATGAACATGTTACGGTAATGAGAATGGTGTTTCGGAAATGAAATTCAATGTTTCGGAAATGAGATTTAGTGCAACATAGGTTAGAAATGATTCACATTTAACACCCAATGATATTTTAATGGTCAAAAGCATTTCATTTCATCATAGTAGTAGTAACAAAAGAATTCATTTATAACATAGTAAGGTGGATGACAAATATAGCCTGACTCTCACCAGACCCATGTAGTTCGCTGCACTTCACACATGAGTCTGGTACTGAGCCATAGGGGTTGGATTTCAGAAGGCAGGGCCTTGTAAAAAAAATCCTTGTATGTGATTGGATAGACCACTTGTCCGTTGTCTTGAATAAAGTCTGCTTTCAACCACTCACATCGAAGCACACGACTCCCATAGGTGGCCAAATCCCAGCAAGATTTTCCAACCCAAAATCCGCGAGAATACCCACACAAAAAAACACTCAGAATGATTTTTTGGCTAAAAACTTAATGTAATCAACTTGGGCTATCATGATTCTGTTTATTGTCTTTCTGTTTATTTAATACCTACAAGTCTCTTGGAAAAAAATATGCAGGAACCACCGAACCTGGCAACCCTGCTGCAGAGTGTGTAAACAGGAACACTGAACCAGTGCTTCAACCAAACTTTACAGGAACATTTGACTCTTAAAACACAGATATATCAACATAGAACCATCAACATCTCGCCTCTAATTGCATTAAAAGTGACATCCGTTACTCTTTTAAAAAGATTCGCGGACTTTACGTCCGCCATCTTGGATTCCTCTCGCTGCTGCATGAGAGAAGCTTGAGAAGGCAGTGCAAACCCCACGTAACACCGGCCATCCTGATTGGTCGATTAAAAAATAATCTGGGGAATGCGTTCGCTATGGCGTCGATACCAGACCCATGTGATTCAGCCAAACGCCTCTGGTGGAGCATGGCGGAACTACAAGGGTCTGGCATAGCCAGGCTATGACAAATAAGCCCTGAAAACACCTTTTTTTTAATTCTAAACTGCATTAAGGAAATTTAGCAGAAATTAATATTAGTGTAAGAGGTACACATAAGTATCATTTACGGATGGCCCTCAGCAGAGGACCCTGTACTCCCGGAGAACCCCCCAAAGGACACCCCGGGGAACACGGTCGAACGCCTTCTCCAAGTCCACAAAGCACATGTGGACAGGTTGGGCAAACTCCCATGAACCCTCGAGTATCCGATTGAGAGTATAGAGCTGGTCCAGTGTTCCACGGCCGGGACAAAAACCACACTGCTCCTCCTGAATCCGAGATTCAACCATCGGTCGTAGTCTCCTCTCCAGTACCTTGGAGTAGACCTTACCGGGGAGGCTGAGGAGTGTGATCCCACGATAATTGGAACACACCCTCCGGTCCCCCTTCTTGTAGAGAGGGACCACCACACCGGTCTGCCACCCCAATGGTGCCGCCCCCGATTGCCTTGCGATATTGCAGAGACGTGTCAGCCAAGACATAGCCTTTAGATAGTCAGGACGGATCTCATCCACTCCCGGAGCCTTGCCACTAAGGAGGCTGCCAACCACCTTGGTGACCTCAGCCAGGGAGATGGAAGAATACAATACAATGTATTATTGTATAGCCCTAAATCACAACAGAAGTAATCTCAGAGGACTTAATAAAAATAGAACACATATTGAAAAATGTCCATACTTGTTCTAGAATGTTAAAGTCGTCACGTCCTGGATCATCACCACAGTCCTTCTAGTTGGACACTAACTGCCCAACAGACCCTCCTGCATTGGCAAGGAAAAACTCATAAGAAAACCCCCCTCCGGTCCAGAGGACGTGACGAGGCACCTCTTTACTCTCCGAACTCCTCCCAGTCCCGGGTTTTTGCCTCTGCAACAGCCCGGGCCGCAGCACACTTGGCCAGCCGGTACTGGACAGCTGCCTCAGAAGTCCCACGGACCATCATGGCTTGATAGGACTCCTTCTTCATCCTGACGCATCCCTTACTGCCGGTGTCCACCACCGGGTTCGGGGGGCGGCTGCCGGGACCAGCACCAGAGACCTTGAGAACACAGCTGCGAGCTGCAGCATCGGTGATAGATGCGGAGAACATAGTCCACTCAGACTCAATGTCCCCCTCCTCCGCCGCGACCTGGGAGAAGCTCTCCCAGTGAGTTGTGTGAGTTAAAAGTCTGTCTGACAGGGGGCTCAGCGAGACGTTCCCAGCAGACCCTCACTACACGCTTGGGTCTGCCAGGTCTGACCGGCTTCCTCCTCTGCCAGCGGATCCAACTCACGACCAGGTGATGATCGGTTGACAGCTCCGCCCCTCTTTTTACCCGAGTGTCCGAGACACGCGGTCGAAGGTCAGATGATACAAAAACAAAGTCGATCATCAACCTCCGGCCTAGGGTGTCCTGGTGCCACGTGCACTGGTGGACACCCTTGTGCTGGAACATGGTGTTCGTGATGGACAGGCCGTGACTGGCACAGAAGTCCAACAACTGAACACCGCTCGGGTTCAGATCAGGGGGGCCGCTCTTCCCGATCACCCCTCTCCAAGTGTCACTGGCATTTCCCACATGGGTGTTGAAGTCCCCCAGGAGAATAACAGAGTCCCCGGGCGGTACACCGTCCAGTACCCCTCCCAAGGACTCCAAGAAGGCCGGGTACTCTGCACTACCGTTAGGCCCGTAGGCCGTCACAACAATGAGAGACTTGTCCCCCACCCGGAGGCGGAGGGACGCGACCCTCTCATTAACCGGGGAGAACTCCAACACGTGGAGCTGAGATGGGGGGCAATGAGAATGGCCACCCCAGCTCGCCGCCTCTCCCCGCGAGAAACACCAGAAAAGTGGAGCGTCCAACCCCTCTCGAGGATTTGGATTGCGGTGCCCGAGCTGTGTGTCACCCCCAGCGAGGTGACGTTCCACGTCCCAAGAGCCAGATGCTGTGTGCGCGCACTGGGTCGTTGAGGTCACCGCCTTCGACTGCTGCCCAGTCCTCTCAGCACCTCTCCACCACGGATCCCTCTGTGGGTGGTGGGTCCAAAGGAGGGCCTGCCCATGTCATCCCTTTGGGCTGAGCCCGGCCGGGCCCCGTGGGCTAAGGCCCACCAGACTCTCGCATACAAGCCCCAACCCCAGGCCTGCTCCAGGGTGGGGCCCCGGCTGCGCCATGCCAGGCGACGTCACGGTTCTCAATAACATGCTATACATGGTGGGTTTTGGACTGCGCTTCGTCTGACTCATCAGCTGAGACCTGTTTGCCATGGGAGACCCTACCATGAAGCCCCAGACAACATAGCTCCCAGGATCATCAGAGTACTCAAACTCCCTTACCACGTTAAGGTGGTAGTCCAGGGGGACATAATATTCTGTAAAATAATCCATCCATTTTCTTACCCTTAATCTATTCCTGGGTTGGAAGGTCACTCATTACACAGAGCACAGCTCTATGGCATAGCCTTAGTCTTTCAGAGGGGCCTTCAGGCAAAGTGGGATAAAGTGTCTTGCCCAAGGATACAACAACAGCAGACATCAGTGGGAGTTGGTGGAGTAGGTCTTGTGGTGGGCTTGAACCCATGACCTCTAGCCTTAAAGGCTAATAATGCTCTACCAACTGAGCCAACTGAAACTAATGACTTCTGCTGGAAGGTTTACAGGTATACTTTATAATTAAAAGCTATATTATTTTGTTATTTAAGTGTTTTTCATAAATGTGTTAAAAATATCTGTGTTAATTCCTGGTATAACATAACAATTTCTCATTACCGAAACAGTGAATCTCTCTACCGCAACATGCCTTTAACTGTTGCGGTGTATGATAATGCTGTTGCGGAGTATGAGTGACCTTGAAATTTTCCGCTGTCTGCGAAGGCACCACAAGGCTTAGCTAAACTTTAGCTAGCTGTTTATTTTTGGACCATAATGAAGTATATAATAAACAAGAATTTTTAAATAAAAAAAAGTCGTGTAGCTGCTGTAATGAACAAACTTTTAACTTTTATCTGGAGAGAAATAAAATGAGGTGCTTACCTGGTAGCTATTTTGAGTGTCACTGGAAATGATGTTCCTCCCTTCAGAATTCTTTGATTTTGTAAGTTCCTTGTGGACTTAAACGATTATTGAAAATTGTTGCGGAGGATGAGAAAAATGGTTGTGGACAAAGTTATTTTCCTTAAAACTTTAACTTATTTTATACAAGAATACCCAATATCACATGTTTATTTATTGTAACTGTTTATAGTATAACATGCACTGATGCTTTATACATTTCATATTTTTTTTGTTTAAAAATTTGTATTTCAAAGTTCTCAAATTCAGTAATGGACGTGTTGCGGTAATGAGAAATTTACTATTAAATATGGAAAAAACAATAAATATATTTTTATAATGTTCACTTTAAATCATGTGCAACATAGCCTGTGATGACATGTTTATAAATGTATCATTATAATTTCCATTGCATTTACTTTGTTCATCTTATTCTTCATGCCACCTTGTAAGTCTGATTTCGCGAGAATCACCCTCCTGCCTCCTCCTCCCTCCTGCCTCCCCCATCCACCTCCTGCCTCCCCCATCCACCTCCTGCCTCCCCCATCCACCTCCTGCCTCCCCCATCCACCTCCTGGTCCCTCCCCCTCCCCCCCCCAGCTCTGGAACACTCTCTCCCCGACCTCCAAAACACTGACCCACTCCTACACTTCCAAACCGCCCTTAAAACACACCTTAGTCTCTATGACCAACATTTCACTGTCCATTTAAACTGTCTAGGCTTTTAACTGTCAAGGCAAGGCAAGTTTATTTATATAGCACAATTCATACACAAGGCAACTCAAAGTGCTGAACAAAAATAAGAAAGCATTAAAATCATAAATAATCACAGAACATTAAAAAGAAAGATAAAAACATAAAATCCCTCAGTTGTAGCACAGCTAAACAGAACTGTCTTTAACCTGGTTTTAAACATTGTCAGAGAGGAGGCCTGTCTCACATCTTCAGGAAGACTGTTCCAGATTTTAGCAGCATGAATCTGAAAAGCAGCCTCCCCATGTTTAGTTCTGACTCTGGGCACTAACAGGAGTCCTGTCCCTGTGCTCCTCAGAGTCCCAGCAGGAGTCCAGTCCCTGTGCTCCTCAGAGTCCCAGCAGGAGTCCAGTCCCTGTGCTCCTCAGAGTCCCAGCAGGAGGCCAGTCCCTGTGCTCCTCAGAGTCCGGGCTGGTTCATATGGGACTAACATGTCACTAATATATTTTGGAGCGAGGCCATGGAGAGACTTGTACACCAGGAGAGCTGTTTTAAAGTCTATTCTCTGAGCCACAGGAAGCCAGTGCAGAGACCTGAGGACCGGACTAATATGGTCGTACTTCCTGGTTCTAGTCAGGACTAATGTGGTCGTACTTCCTGGTTCTAGTCAGGACTAATGTGGTCGTACTTCCTGGTTCTAGTCAGGACTAATGTGGTCGTACTTCCTGGTTCTAGTCAGGAGTCGGACTAATGTGGTCGTCCTTCCTGGTTCTAGTCAGGACTAATGTGGTTGTACTTCCTGGTTCTAGTCAGGACTAATGTGGTCGTACTTCCTGGTTCTAGTCAGGACTCGAGCTGCTGCATTTTGAATGTAATGTCTAGGCTTTTAACTGTCTATGGTTTTAACTTTGTACTTTTTTAAGGCATAGAAATGCGCCTTATAAATCAAATGTATTTTTATTATTAACTCTATAAACACCATTTCTACTACTGTTGAAGTCTTAGCACATTCTGTCTGCATTACTAGTATTTCATAACATCAGTGAAAGGCCTTTTAAAAGTACCTGCTATTGTCTAAAAATAGACTTGGACGTGTCTTCATTTGATAAAGAGAAATTAGAAGCAAGATTACAGAGTTTAACAGTATTTTAATTATCTTCACAATCAAATACAAAACTCAAAAGCTCCTAACTAACCCTGATCTAATCCTAACTAACTAACTAACCCTGATCTAATCCTATCTAACTAACTAACCCTGATCTAATCCTAACTAACTAACCCTGATCTAATCCTATCTAACTAACTAATCCTGATCTAATCCTAACTAACCCTGATCTAATCCTATCTAACTAACTAACCCTGATCTAATCCTATCTAACTAACTAATCCTGATCTAATCCTATCTAACTAACTAATCCTGATCTAATCCTAACTAATCCTGATCTAATCCTATCTAACTAACTAACCCTGATCTAATCCTATCTAACTAACTAACCCTTATCTAATCCTATCTAACTAACTAATCCTGATCTAATCCTATCTAACTAACTAACCCTGATCTAATCCTATCTAACTAACTAACCCTGATCTAATCCTATCTAACTAACTAACCCTGATCTAATCCTATCTAACTAACTAATCCTGATCTAATCCTAACTAATCCTGATCTAATCCTATCTAACTAACTAACCCTGATCTAATCCTATCTAACTAACTAACCCTTATCTAATCCTATCTAACTAACTAACCCTGATCTAATCCTATCTAACTAACTAACCATGATCTAATCCTATCTAAATAACTAATCCTGATCTAATCCTATCTAAATAACTAACCCTGATCTAATCCTATCTAACTAACTAATCCTGATCTAATCCTAACTAATCCTGATCTAATCCTATCTAACTAACTAACCCTGATCTAATCCTATCTAACTAACTAACCCTGATCTAATCCTATCTAACTAACTAATCCTGATCTAATCCTAAATAATCCTGATCTAATCCTATCTAACTAACTAACCCTGATCTAATCCTATCTAACTAACTAACCCTGATCTAATCCTATCTAACTAACTAATCCTGATCTAATCCTAACTAATCCTGATCTAATCCTATCTAACTAACTAACCCTGATCTAATCCTATCTAAATAACTAATCCTGATCTAATCCTATCTAACTAACTAACCCTGATCTAATCCTATCTAACTAACTAACCCTGATCTAATCCTATCTAACTAACTAACCCTGATCTAATCCTATCTAACTAACTAACCATGATCTAATCCTATCTAAATAACTAATCCTGATCTAATCCTATCTAAATAACTAATCCTGATCTAATCCTATGAGCTGAGCTTAAAGTAACTGTCTCTAAACTATGTGAGAGGTCAACCAGGCGCTCTGTGATGACCTCTATCTGACCCTGCTCAGACTGATTATTCACACATCGTAAAATTAAAATGTGCAGAAGTGGGCGTGGCTTCATCAGGTGACGTCAGTCCAGACCAGGTCTCGGTCTTGGGTCCAAGTCCTGAACCTTGGTCTCAGATCATCACTTTTCTGAAAAACACTTTGGAGAAACAGGAAGCATATGTTCCCTATTTTGTCTGTCATCAATTTGAACTCTTGACATTTTAGTTTCTGTCTGAGTCCAGCACAAAAACATATCAAACAACGTAACTGTCAGTAAATAAAATCCCTAATGATAAACGGTGATTTTAGGATTGTATATTATGCAACACTGCTTATTCGTTTGTTTCTGTAACTTTGCTTTGAAATCAGTGGAACAACAAAAGATTAACATTTCGTTTTCAGGAAGTGAAGTGAATCTTTCCTTTCTACACGTTTTCCTTGCTGTGTTTTGCTGCAGGATGCTGAATCTGCAGCTCAGCCAATCATCTGGAGAATTCCCCAATATCCAGGTTTTATGACACACTCAGCACGGGGCTCAGTGCTGCGTCTCTGGGAAACTGTGCACTAGAACGCAACCTATAAACACAACTATAAAAACACAGAGCCGGCTCTACACTCCATCAATTAACCGCTAAGTAAAACCTTATTCATGTGTTATATATCATTCTACAAAGCCATCCATCCATCCATCCATTTTCTTCCCCTTAACCCATTTCTGGGTCGGGGGGTGTCAGTCAGAGCTACACCAGTACACAGAGCACCAGCCCCTCACTGATCCTCCTGCAGGTAGTGAGTCCACAGGAGCTGAGATCTTTCAATGGGGGCTTCAGGCAAAGTGCGGTTAAGTGTCTTGCCCAAGGACACAACGACAGAAGTCATCAGTGGGAGTCGTGAAGTAGGTCTTGAGGTGGGCTTGAACCCACGACCTTCAGGCTCAAAGGCCAATGCTCTACCAACTGAGCTACTGTCGCCCCCATTCTACAAAGCCCTGTCTTTGTAATGCACTCCACAGAAAAGGTTCCAGACACAGAGAGGGCTGCAGCTCTCAGTGCACCACACCTCAGAAAAACATTTAGATATTATTGGGGTGAAATATGGAACAGAAATTGCTGGGGTTTTTTGTTTGATGACGACGACAACGACAATGACCGTTTTCCCTACCACTCCTGCACTGGTGACCCCGCTCCCATCTCTGTGTGGAGAGAGAGACAGATGCCCACAATTGTAAAGCGCTTTGTGACTGCGAAAGGCGCTCATGAATGGGGTAAAAGCATGTTATAGAAATATTTTAGTAAAGCAATCTGAATTAACACCAAATAGTGATGAGTGTAAATTATTAACTAATTCTCAACTCTGGATTCAGATACAGGCCATAATGCTTTGTTGGCTCAGGTCAGTGATAGATGGAGACGTGCTGCATCATGTCTTTGACCTGGGTCATAGAACAATATGTTCAGGTCAAAAGCAGATTGTTACATATATCAGAGTTGTATCAGCGTAAAGAGAAGCCTTGAGCAACACGTATCAATGTTGACTTCATTTATGTAATATCTAGAGTAGATATGTGTTTGTTTACTCTGGTCTATTTAATGTACAGTTATTTCCTCAATCGGGGCAGTTGGTTTCAGACGGCTGCAGGTGGTATTGGTATCGGTTCTGTTATTCATTGTAATTGTGCACATTTACTAATGAATAAACTCACACTTTGTTTGGAATTACAGCTCTGAGTTGTTTACATTATTTTACTCTCGTTATGTGCAGAATTTCCACAACAGGCATAAAGGGGGGTAACCTTATGCGCCTCCTGCTGGTGCCAAATGTCCATGAATACTAGTTTGTCGTAGAGCTCTGGTTTTGCTTGTATTGCACCAATTCTTACATAAACAGTAGTTGCGAGATCAGGCCCTGAATGTTTAATAAAAATCCACCGCATTCGTCATAGATTGAACCAGAGTCCAAAACAATGTTGTGCTTTGTCTTTAGCAGAAGATGCTCGACTCTTCTGTGATCTTAAAATCACAGAACAAGGCCTGCTTTGAGCACTGAAAACCCCGCCATTGCTGCCAAAAACGATCCCATTAAAAATAAAAACAAAGGGGACATCCACAGACTGCCGCGGCGCAGAGTCCTCCCGTAGTTGCTGCCTCGCCCGCGGGGGGGTCTCTGCGCTTTATCTCAGCGCGGAGCTCCCTCGCGGAGGCTGTCTCGCCTGCTGGAGGATCTCTCCGCCCGGGGCATGGCCCTCCCACAACCGCCCGCACTACCACCACCACCAACCCCGCTGCAGGGGCGCCGGTTCGGTCTCCGGCTCCCTCCTCCTGCTCCACTGCAGCTCACGGGGCTCGCAGCAGCTCTGCTCCGGGCGCATCCCAACGCTCTCCTGTCCCCTGCTCTCCCCCGGGTCCTACTCCAGTCACTCCCTCCCCTCCACGACCTCTATTCGCACCAACTACACTCCTGGTGGGGGACTCTGTCATCAAACACTGTAAGTTCTTCAATGCCATCACGCACTGCTTTCCCGGAGCCACTGTCCCTACCATCCTCACTAAACTACCCGCACTTCTACAGACAGCACCCCCCACAATAACCCGGATCATAATTCATGTTGGTACAAATGATGCTGCACTCCGCCAATCTGAAATCACCAAACTCCATTTTAAGGACCTTTTTAACCTTTTATCAAAAACCGGAAAAAGTGTTTTTATCTCTGGCCCTCTGCCCACGTTGAACCGGGGCGTGGAACGTTTTAGCAGGATACTATCACTCACCACTTGGCTTCAAAAATCATCACAGCAGCACAACTTTGGTTTTATTGACAATTTTAATTTGTTCTGGAACCGCCACCCCTTCTTCACACCCGATGGACTCCATATCAATAAACTCGGCACCCGGTACCTGATTTCAAACATCACCCACTCAGTTCAATCCCGTCCCCCGCACCTCTGACAACCCATCACTCCATCCCACATCATTCCTGCCCCGCTGGACTCCAACATCAGTCCCTGCTCCCCCCCCCAACAAGGAATTTCAGTTCTGTCCAGACCCCGCCCCTACAGACCGTCCATACTCCGGAAACCGTCCCTCAACACCCTCATCCCTGTTGCCCTTTGCTCCTCCACATCATCTTCTCCCCTCACTACAAACAAAAATGACTCTCCATCCACCATCAGGTTTGCTCTTTTAAATGTACGCTCTCTTTTAAATAGAACTTTTATCATTAATGATTTGATTTTACAACACAAACTGGATGCTATGTTTTTAACTGAGACCTGGCTGGGTCCGGATGCTCCGGCTGTTCTCACAGAGGCCCCCTCTCACAGAGGGTGTGTCCTCTGTTGTTGACCTGGCTATCTCTGACCACTATTGTGTGTTTTTTAAAATCACTGGTTTTGTTAAACAGGAGACCTCTGTGAGAACTGTGAAGAAACGACGTCTAACCCCTGAAGTGGCTGCAAATTTTATGGACATTCTAAATAACACTCCTCAGTTGGTTTTACCTGCCCCCTGTGATTTTATAGCAGATGATTTTAACAGTAGACTAAGAACTACACTGGATCAGGTTGCTCCATTAAAAATTGTAAGCATTCAACAAAAATCTATAGCCCCTTGGAAAAATGAGGAAGCAAGGAGTATGAAAAGACAGTGCAGGGTGGCAGAGCGAAGATGGAGAAAAAATAAAACGACAATCAATCACGAAATATATAAAAACCGACAGCAAATTTACAACAACACAATCAGGAAAAACAGGAACAATTACTTTGCAAAACTAATCAGCCAGAACAAAAATAATCCAAAAATCCTCTTTTCAACCATCGACACCATTTTAAACCCTGATTTTAGCATGTCTCTTTTAACCCCCACAGACTCCCTCTGTGAGGATTTTGCAGTCCACTTCATGGGGAAGATAAATACAATCAGATGTAACATTTTATCCAACCGCACTACTGTTTTTAACACATCTGATTGTTTGTCTTCACCAGAGGAAACACTGGACAGTTTTGTCCTGGTTGATGCTGAGATGCTTGATAAAGTTTTCTCCGCAGTGAGGCCCACCACATGTCTTTTAGATCCAGTCCCCACTCCATTTTTTAAGTCATTTTATGAATCTTTTAGAGAGGAGCTTTTAAACCTGATGAATTGCTCTCTTCAGACTGGGGTCTTTCCTGCAGCCTTCAAAGCGGCTGTGGTGAGGCCCCTTCTGAAGAAGAGCAATTTGGATTTTAATGATTTTAACAACTACAGACCGGTATCCAACTTACCATTTTTAAGCAAAATTTTAGAAAAACTTGTTTTTACCCAGCTCAATGCCTTTTTAGATCAGCAGCAAATTTTAGAGAAATTTCAATCAGGATTTAGGGTGAACCACAGCACAGAGACTGCTCTTTTAAAGATTTTAAATGATTTTAGACTAAATTATGATTCTAAAAAGGTGACCGTGTTGGTTCTACTGGATCTAAGCGCTGCCTTTGATACAGTAGACCACACCATTCTTTTATCCCGCCTGAAACACCTCGGCCTCTCTGGTGCTGTCCACAAATGGTTCACTTCTTATTTAACAGACAGATCCTTCATGGTAAGTTTGGATACCTGCTCCTCTCAGGTCCATAAAATCACATGTGGTGTGCCCCAGGGTTCCATTTTAGGTCCAGTCCTTTTTAACCTGTACATGCTCCCTCTTGGCGGTGTCATCAGGAGACATGGAATTGACTTCCACAGTTATGCAGATGATACACAGCTGTACATCTCCATGTCTCCTGACGACACCAGGCCAATGGATGCTCTTTTTAACTGCATTTTAGACCTGAAATCCTGGATGGCAGAAAACTTTCTCCAGCTCAACCAGGACAAAACTGAGGTTTTAGTCATCGGTCCTGAGGCCCAGAGAGAGAAACTTTTACCGAAACTCCAATCACACTCTTTTAATCCATCATCACAAGTGAAAAACCTGGGCGTAATCTTTGACTCTGAGCTGACTTTTATTCCTCACATCAAGAACATCACAAAAATAGGTTTTTATCATTTAAAGAACATCGCCAGAGTCCGCCCCATTCTCTCTCGGGCCAACACGGAGACGCTGATGCATGCTTTTATCACCAGTCGCATTGACTACTGTAATGCCCTGCTCTCTGGTCTTCCCAAAAAGAACATTTCAGGTTTACAATTACTTCAAAACTCGGCCGCACGTGTCCTGACTAAGACCAGGGGGCGGGACCACATTACACCGGTTTTAAAATCGCTGCATTGGCTCCCCGTGTGTTTCAGGATCGATTTTAAGGTTCTTTTAATGGTCTTTAAATGTCTTAATGGTCTTGGGCCTTCTTATCTTTCAGATTTGCTTTTATCCTATGAGCCTTCCCGGCCCCTGCGCTCCTCCGGCAGCAGACTTCTAACCATCCCCAAAGTCAGGACACACACTCACGGCGAGGCATCTTTCCAGCACTACGGCCCCCGTCTCTGGAACAGTCTGAGGAGGAGCTCAGGGCCGCAGAGAACGTTCATATTTTTAGGAGTAGGCTCAAGACGCACCTTTTTAGAGCAGCTTTTGATTAGTATTTATTATCTATTATTGCTTTTTAGTACATCTATTTATGTTTTTAGACGGATTATATTTTTATTTATTTTTATTATTTACTATTTTTAATTATTTATTGTATCTACCCATTTACTATTGTTATTATCAATATTAGGCAGCTGCCATTTTTCTTTTCACATTTTATTGTTCTACTTTCTATTGTATTATTGTATTGTTTTAGTGTCCCCAGTGTTTCCTCTGGAGGAGCCCTCTGCACTGAGAGCTGGGGTCTGCTGTGGCTTCGGGGGACTGGCTCTTGGATCCGGTGGGGGTCTGGGGCCTCCTCTCTCCTCTGGGTCCTATGGGGTCTGAGTCCTGGGCCTGGTGGGGTCTGGGGCCCCTCTCTTCTCTGGGTCCTGTGTCGTTGCCTGTGGCTGCAGCCGGCTCTCTGCTCCTGGTGCAGATGGCTCCTTGGATGACGCTTCTTCAGCCGGTTACATCTGCTCCCAGCCCCATTTCTTTTTATTGTTTTACCTATTTTACCTGATGTGTGTGTGTGTGTGTGTGTGTGTGTGTGTGTGTGTGTGTGTGTGTGTGTGTGTGTGTGTGTGTGTGTGTGTGTGTGTGTGTGTGTGTGTGTGTGTGTGTGTGTGTGTGTGTGTGTGTGTGTGTGTGTGTGTGTTTGTTTTCTGGTTTACGAGGCCGATTTTCAAGACTTTTCTCCGAGTAAGGAGGACCCTCCGGTTTAGGAGGACATTTTGCTGTCCTCATAAAAATTACATTCTAAATCGTTTTCTATGCATTTTTTAATGCCTAAAAAGTGGTTTTCTCAAAAGTCTTTTTAAACCAGAAACCTGAGAAAAGTAGTAAATCTGTGTGTCCGCCACTGCCCCTAGTGGTCGTTTTCTCCCGCGCGGGAAATGATGGAATATACACACAAACGCGGGAAATTATACACATTGGCGGGAGCGACACACAAAGTCATTACTGCGCATGCTCCGTGTGGGGAAGTGGAGGAGAGCGTCTTTCGCCAGTCAAGGCTGCTTCAACACTTTTCTTCACCCATCCACCCTCAAAGGAGACGGGACCACGAGGAGGGACACGGGACGCACCCGCACACAGGTATGAGAGAGTTTTCACTGGTCAAACAGATGTTGTTTAGCACAAAGGAGCCGCTGGTAGAAGAGCATAACGTAGCTGCGGGGGTCGGCAGCCTAGTTAAGCTGCGGGCTACGTAGCCATTTGCACGATTTATTAATTCTGTCACGTTTAGGTTCGGCAAATCTGCAGTAAATATACTGTCGACAGAGCAAACGGGACCGTAGTGACATACCCACTACAGGAAGATGAACATTAGCTAGCTATTTGCGGAGCTAAGTGGCTAACACACATGTGTGCTGCAGCTGCTTGATAATATAGTCAAAGTTACAATATAGATGCATTTTGCGTGCTGAGGCCATACTTGGAACAAATATATTAGGTAGTTTCCTAATGGAGAGGTGAGTAATAAAATCAGTCTGTGATAATTAGTAGAATATTTTATAGGAGCAGGCTACTTGATAAAATGATAATACTAAATGATAAGATTATTAGAAATAAGACATCTGCTGTATGTATTATGATTTTATGTTCAAGCAAAATTCAAGCATTGTCTATATAGAATTTTCCTTTTAATACGCAGCCCTTCTGCGTTGTGAGTGACTTGACACAATTAAAATACTATTGCAGTAAGTTCGTATGTATTTGAGAGCTGAATGGATGTAGAACAAGTCTTGGACCAGAATGTACATGTTTAATCTGTACACACATTGAATATCTGTTTGTTTCATAACAATAATATAACTGTATTCTTAATAAAAGTAAAATATTAGATATATCGCTTTCCTTTCAAGCTCTATAGACATTGGGATGTCCCCTAGCAATGGACTACTTTATATAACTATAGTTAGCTGTTATTCCAGTGTCACATTTACAGATGTTTAATATTTTTAGAATATGAGCAGAATATATTATAGTTTATGGGTAAGGTGCAGTCCATTATAGTCTTCTATTGGAATCAGAACATTCATGGAGCGATGATTTAGAACTCCAAAAACCCTAACAACGGTCCTTGAAACCATGGGTGTGGACCCATGGTTTCTCCCAAAAGGCATCAGAGGGAAACATGAGTACATAGCCATGTAGGTGAAATGCACTGTTTCACTGTTGATGTTGATGAACTGAACTTCACATTAAAAAAGTTAATGTCATGATTACTTGAAATAGTTTTGATTTATGGTTTCTGAAAAACCATGAGATGAAAAGTAATGTTATTTTTAAAATGTTTGTTCTTAATTTCTCTTAAAGTCATGCCACAGAGAACTACTCCCCTTCAGGATGCCACAAAGCATATCCTTGAAGGAAGAGACAAGACTGCTATGTTAGAAGTAAAACATATTAATCCAGTCAAAGGTAAGTCACTGACACTAATATAATCACTGGTTCAGTTGTATCAATGGTTTGCTGCCCTTGTGTCTTTAATAAGCCTGTGTCTTCAGGTCGTGGTATTTTCTCTACCACTGTTTTCAGTCAAGGAGACTTTGTTGTGGAGTATAGGGGGGTACTTGTTGATTCAGCTGAACAGAGACGTAAACAGAACCAGAGTGAATGTTCAGTCTTCATGTTCGACTTCACATGGAAGCGGAGGATTTGGAGGTAGGTTCAGTGTGACTGTTTTCGTCTCTGTGGTGAGTGTAGCTGCCTAGTGTAGCTGCCTAGCCTAAAGTACATTTTGAACATGTGTCTCTATAAATGTGTTTAGTGCATGATGTTTGTATTTTTAATGTGCAGTATTGATGGCGGAGAGGAAGACGGATCTTTTGGACGATTAGTCAATGACGAGCATAAGTTGCCCAACTGCCGAATGAAGTTGATTGAGGTGAAAGGCAAACCACATCTTTGCCTTTTTGCCCTGAAGGAGATCAAAGCAGGAACTGAAATAAATTACGACTATGGTGGGACATCATGGCCCTGGCGTGAAGAGGTGGGTCATTTAGTGTTTTTTTTCCCCCTATAAATTGATGCCCAGGTTTACAATAATTATCTATATTTTTGACTTGATAACAATGATATTCTAGTTTTCTAATTTCACTATTTTGCAGATTCCCCTTACTGTTACAACCAGTGCTGCACAAGGGTCTAGTCAAGACTGTATCCAAGACAAAATTCAGCCATTGGCAGTCCTTATTGATGGTCAGAGGACTTTTTGTTGTTTTTTGGCAATAGTGTACTGGAGATGACTGAGAGATGTTGATACCACATATAGCCTTGTTTATTATTTTCTCTTTTTTTTTTTTACAGAGACCAGACGTATCTGACTGCAATAGGACATCAGGCAGTCCTGCTTGTGAGGTTAGGTTAATTATGGTTGTTTGTCAAAGCAATGATTAACAGTTTTAAAATAGCTGAGGAAAGAAGCAGGTCAAAGCATCATCACATACCCCTGGTATAGTTTTATTAAATGAGGGGGTGACAAAATGCCTCGAATTACTAAAAAAATCATTAATCCTCAAATTATTTGACTGCCTAACCTTTATTACTAATGTACAAAATGAAGCCAGTAAAATTGATATTATGGGTATTTTACAACGCAATGGTCAATGGCAATACACTGAATTGGGAGTGAGCTACATACAGACTTAAATCGATTACAGCTTAACAAGACACACATGTAACTTATACAGTATTTCAGCCAAAAGTGGTATTCACTTAAGGAACAATTAAATATAGTTGCTTAATATTTAATTAATCTGCATTTTTGGTCTTTTATGTTCCAACCACTATGTTTTTTTTTCTTCTCGTGTTTACAGTTGGAGTTAGCTTTAGCCTTAACTCAACAGCCTCAAAGAAGTGGAATTAAATAAACACATTTATAAAATAACTGCAATGTATTTGTTATTATTCAGTTTGGTCCATCTCCATGGAGACGTCCGAGAACACGACATCGTCATGATAGAACCCTAAAAGAACCCATGATGTAATTCCATCTCCACGGTGACCACCAAGTTCCCCAGCTGCTGTTGGAAAGGCATAAGCCCTCATTTCAAACAGGACACCGACCAGAGCAGACGTGTTTTTGGTTTGAGAGGAAATCAACAAAGATGGAAGAATTTTGTGTTCAGAAACAGTTCAACTATTGGTGAGTACAGTGTTTGACTTCACACGAGTTGTTTTCATGGATCTATCATGCAATACAGACCGTGACATAGTGGATGTTTATTAGGACCAGACCTGGGCACAATAAGGCCTGGGGACTGAGTCTGGGGACCGGAAATAATTAGGGATGTACCGAATCCAGGGTTCGGGTTCGGATTCGGCCGAATATTGGCTTTTTTGACGGGGTTCGGTTTATGGCCGAACCTTAATTTTTCCCATCCACTGAACCCGTGTGAAGTCAAACACTGTACTCACCAATAGTTGAAACTGTTTCTGAACACAAAATTCTCCATCTTTGTTGATTTCCTCTCAAACCAAAAAACACGTCTGCTCTGGTCGGTGTCCTGTTTGAAATGAGGGGCTTATGCCTTTCCAACAGCAGCTGGGGAACTTGGTGGTCACCGTGGAGATGGGAATTACATCATGGGTTCTTTTAGGGTTCTATCATGACGATGTCGTGTTCTCGGACGTCTCCATGGAGATGGACCAAACTGAATAATAACAAAATACATTGCAGTTATTTTATAAATGTGTTTATTTAATTCCACTTCTTTGAGGCTGTTGAGTTAAGGCTAAAGCTAACTCCAACTGTAAACACGATGAAAGAAAAAAAACATAGTGGTTGGAACATAAAAGACCAAAAATGCAGTATTAATTAAATATTAAGCAACTATATTTAATTGTTCTTAAGTGAATACCACTTTTGGCTGAAATACTGTATAAGTTACATGTGTGTCTTGTTAAGCTGTAATCGATTTAAGTCTGTATGTAGCTCACTCCACTTGGTTAGATTGTTTATGGGGCCTGGAGCGATGGTTAGGAGGTAAAGTAGAATTACAACCAGTAATATAATTAATAAAGCCCTATTCGGACAAGATTCAGTGTGACCCGTGGACCACTGTTAATTTGTGATTATTGCGGGGAGGCCTTCTGAGATCTTGTAGTGCATTCACACAGGATAAGCAATGTCTGTAATTTTTACTGACATCTCATAACGACCAAACGTTGCGCGGGTCTCTACGGTTCAGGCTAGTGCCTTGCAGGGCCTATTATCTGGGCCCGAGCCCAACCCTGGCCCGAGGAGGTGGAAAGCCAGCCCGGCCCAGTCCGACAGGTTTTCAGACTTCTCAAGCCCGAACCCGTATCAAGGCCGAATTTTTTTTTCAGTAAGTAAGGAAGTAATCTTTATGTACCGCCTTTCACAGACCAGAGTAAAAACAGTTGTGGGCTTTAGTCTCTGACTCCACACAGAGATGGGAGCGGCCAGTACAGGAGGCACAGACCTATTGTACATGTTTTTGTGGTAGGGGAAACCGGAGTACCCGGAGGAACCTACGTAGACATGGGGAGAACATGCAAACTCCACTCAGAAAGGCCCTGTTCTGACCGGGATTCAAACCCAGGACCTTCTTGCTGAGAAGCGAGAGTCATACATTGTAGGGATGTGTTGCAATGAGTTCTGTGTGTACGGAGTGAACGGCTGCGGCTGTATGATACACAGCTGTATGATACACAGATGTATGATACACAGCTGTATGATACACAGCTTTGATACACAGCTGTATGATACACAGGCTTCCGTCATCACCGTGTGTGGAAGGATTGGAACATATCTGACTCTGAACATTGTATAGCGCTTTGGGTGACCGTTGGTCTGTAAAATGCGCTGTACTGTATAGATGAACATTACTTACTTCCTTACTTACTTACAGCTGTATGATACACAGCTGTATGATACACTGATGCCGCATATAAAACTAACAACACACGTGAAGGTAAACGCTATGTGTGGTCAAAGACAACACTATTCAGAACAACAACACTACAGCTTGATAGAACGCTATATTCATTGGGTGCGATTTGTAAATTGAAATCTGCCGCTCTGAAATAAAAAGGGCCCGAGCCCCGGCCCATTGTCTGAGGTAATTATTCGGTCACCGGCCCAAAGCCCGGTTGTCGGGCCCCTCGGGCCAAGGGCTTAAGTGCAGAGCTCTACTTGACGCAGTTCCATTGACCACAGCAAGCCACAGAGACCATGAGGACAAAACACATAAACATAGATTTTTACTTCTCTACAGTTCTCTGGCCCATTCTGTCTGTAATGTTTAAACAATACTTTTTGTACGGACTACCCCTTAAACGCACCAGATACTCTGGCCACATACGGGCGAATAGTAACGGCTGCAGCAACACGTTTGTACTGTATGAGGACAGAGTGCAGAGTAAATGTACGAACACAACCATCGGTCTGATCATTTATTGTCACGTGAACACATTACTCTGTCCTCTACACTTCTGCAATAGACCACACAGAGACAGCAGGCGCCCCCCAGTGGACACTGAACACTATCACACCCGGGACGGACATTTTAAACCAGCATTCCTGGATTCATTATTCCAATGATCTGCATTGTGCCCTACACGTGTGTATCATTGTCAAGTAATGTAAATGCGGTGTGTGCCTGTACATGTATTATGAATGTCTGTATTAATCCTGCGTTTGTGCCATTATAAACATGTCTGTTGTGAAGGAGGTCCAGGAAGGCGCACAAGGATGACGTCACGGACGCGCCCCCTTTAGAAGTCATTATAAACACACACAATGCAACAGAACTTCCTCTTGTCTTGCCCTGAAATCACCATCGCAGCTCCCTGCCCTTCGCGTCTCGCGGTACGTGTCTTCTACTACGGCCGCGCCTGCACGCATTGGGCTTCTTACTCCGCAACACAGCCCTCCTTCCTGGCTCGGGAGCTTATGAACTGTTCCATCATCAGCCTCTTTCCCTGGCTCTGGACCCTACTCACGCAACTCATTCCGGACTAAATTGTATATGCGTGGATCAAAGTTGGACTAGATTCGCTGGGCTTCGTATCTCCGCCTGCCCGGACAAAGAAACCACGTGGGCTGATTCTCCAACCCAAATCCTTTCTTCACCCTCTACGCTCCTCAAAGTAAGACTGTTCCGTGTTGGAAGTGTGATTCAAATGATATGCATAACAATCTTTGCTTAATGTGACCAGAAAACCCTTTTCGTATTTTCTATTTTCATTTATGTAGTCAATAAAACCCCGTTACCTTTAACTCAATCATATCAGCGTTGTGTTGTTAAAATCTTGGGTCTCTCTGGCTGATATACGCATTCACTACCTATTAGATTATAAGACTGATTCGAGGCAAATTAGTTGGATCTGTGCAGAAGTTTTAACTCTGCTGGTGCCAAAAATAAAAGCAGATCCCCCACTCGAATAGGACGGCCAGACTCTGATTTGGAGACTAACTGCACTATTCTTCTCTTAGAATTTCATAGCTTAACACACATTATTACCCGACCATATTATGGTGCCTGTGTGAGGAGATCCGCGCATATAACCAGATTTATCAACTCTTATTCTGATAACTTGACTGGCATACGCTAGCTTACTGCTGCCCACGCTTCCGGCGCTTTCCCCCACCTCACCACCCCCTCACATCCCTTCTACCCCCCGCCGCTATAGTGATTTCAACGACAATCGAGCTCCCCCGCGCCCCGCTTGCGATAAGCGACTCGTGCATGCACCAGAATTATTTTATTTTAGTCTTAAAATCCTGGCTTTGTGTACTAGGTACTACGCAACTCTGCAACGTAACGCCTCGCCAGGCCAGCGAGCGCGACTCGTGAGTTGACGAAGTCGCTCCTCTCTTAAGAGACAGCGCAAAAACCCCCCCTAAAGAAACAAAGTACGCCGTGCCCAGAACACGGGCGTACAAACCTACTCTGTATTCCTTTGTGACCTGCGTCACGGAGGGTTGTAACCAGTATATATATCAATCAATCAATCAATTTTATTTATAAAGCGCTTTTCATACAAAAAGTGTAACACAAGTGCTTTACAGTTTAGTTAAAACAATCCAACATGCCCAGCCCTAAACACCTCCTCCCCACAGACCCCCCAAAATCACATTTATAATTATATATACAATACACACACCCACACACACACACACACACACACACACACACACACACACACACACACACACACACACACACCACACACACATATACACAAGTATAAAGTCATATCAGGTAAAATAGGTAAAACAATAAAAGAAATGGGGCTGGGAGCAGATGTAACCGGCTGCTGAAGAAGCGTCATCCAAGGGAGCAATCTGCACCAGGAGCAGAGAGCCGGCTGCAGCCACAGGCAACGACACAGGACCCAAGAGGAGAGAGGGCCCCAGACCCCACCAGGCCCAGGACTCAGACCCCATAGGACCCAGAGGAGAGAGGAGGCCCCAGACCCCCACCGGATCCAAGAGCCAGTCCCCCGAAGCCACAGCAGACCCCCAGCTCTCAGTGCAGAGGGCTCCTCCAGAGGAAACACTGGGGACACTAAAACAATACAATAATACAATAGAAAGTAGAACAATAGAATGTGAAAATAAAAAGAAAAAATGGCAGCTGCCTAATATAATAACAATAGTAAATGGGTAGATACAATAAATAATTAAAAATAGTAAATAATAAAAATAAATAAAAATATAATCCGTCTAAAAACATAAATAGATGTACTAAAAAGCAATAATGAGCTCCTCCGGCAGACTGTTCCAGAGACGGGGGCCGTAGTGCTGGAAGATGCCCTCGCCGTGAGTGTGTGTCCTGACTTTGGGGATGGTTAGGAGTCCGCTGCCGGAGGAGCGCAGGGGGCCGGGAAGGCTCATAGGATAAAAGCAAATCTGAAAGATAAGAAGGCCCAAGACCATTAAGAATTTAAAGACCATTAAAAGAACCTTAAATTCGATCCTGAAACACACGGGGAGCCAATGCAGCGATTTTAAAACCGGTGTAATGTGGTCCCGCCCCTGGTCTTAGTCAGGACACGTGCGGCGAGTTTTGAAGTAATTGTAAACCTGAAATGTTCTTTTTGGGAAGACCAGAGAGAGCAGGGCATTACAGTAGTCAATGCGACTGGTGATAAAAGCATGCATCAGCGTCTCCGTGTTGGCCCGAGAGAGATGGGGCGGACTCTGGCGATGTTTCTTTAAATTATAAAAACCTATTTTTGTGATGTTCTTGATGTGAGGATAAAAGTCAGCTCAGATGTTCAAAGATTACGCCCAGGTTTTTCACTTGTGATGATGGATTAAAAGAGTGTGATTGGAGTTTCGTAAAAGTCTTCTCTCTCTGGGCCTCAGGAATCCGATGACATAAAACCTCAGTTTTGTCCTGGTTGAGCTGGAGAAAGTTTTCTGCCATCCAGGATTTCAGGTCTAAAATGCAGTAAAAAGAGCATCCATTGGCCTGGTGTCGTCAGGAGACATGGAGATGTACAGCTGTGTATCATCTGCATAACTGTGGAAGTCAATTCCATGTCTCCTGATGACACCGCCAAGAGGGAGCATGTACAGGTTAAAAAGGAGATGGACCTAAAATGGAACCCTGGGGCACACCCACATGTGATTTTATGGACCTGAGAGGAGCAGGTATCCAAACTTACCATGAAGGATCTGTCTGTTAA